GTTGTACTTAGTAAAACAAGAAAATTGCAGTATACAAACAGAGAAAACTTGTCCGTCTTCACTGTTCATCTTGCAGAGACATTATAGACACATCTTTACAGTCTTTTACCCTTTTCATAAAATAAACTCTAGCAGACATAATAATATTATGGCTTTTGAAAATAGGTATTACAATACTAATTCATAGCAAAGACGATATACTATTCGTCACTGAATTCCCATGTTTTTTGGGACACCCTGTATGTAAATGTATGTCTGTCTACTTGTTTGTGTCCAATATAAACGCCAAAACGGCTGAATCGTTCTATTTCAAACCGTTTGCAGTAATAATGTAGGGAAAAATAAGTATTGAGGGGAAAAAATAAATATTGAGAGAGACCCCCACCCCCACCGGCATCCTCACTATAAAAATATAATTTTTTATAAAGATATTTCCTAAAACCTTGTCTATCAGGATCCAGACAACGACAGAGAATCTGTCGAAGAAAAGCAGGACAGTGAGTCGACTCTGGACCACGAGATCTTCAACTCCAAAAAGTTGGAGATCTCAACGCCAAGCTATAAAATGTCCGAGCTAACCCCAGAGAGTATGCGTCGGATGAAGGACTGGAATTCAAGATTTTCAAATTTAAAAAGTTCGTTTGATGCAAGTTCAGACAAGGAGGAGGAGTTGTTACTGTCCCCCCTGCAATCTAGAAGAGGGAAACCTCAGTTTGAAACAGGTTGGTAGCCATCTTGCTTATCTATCTTATTTAGCTATAGCAGGATAGCTACTTTATAGCACTGTTATAATGAAATTCACTTAGCAGTAAGATTGAATGATAAAGTACACAACAGTTTAAAAAAACGTTTTGTAGAAAGTGGTTCCCTTCTTCAAATATCGATCATTTACTTTTAAAAAATGTACAAGAAGAACATTTCATTGTTTTCTAGATACTGAGGAACGAGGGAGGGGACGGTTTAAAGAAAAAGTCCCGGCAACCAAACGCGCACAAAGTGCGCACTGCACCCTGCGCACCCCAGCAACGACCAACCACCCTAATCAGAGTACAGCAAGTGAACGAGCTCAATCGAAGGATGACAAGAATAAGAATAATGCCATTATTGCCAACAATGCCACCAGGAGAAATTTTGAACGAATTTCTAAAGAGAAAAGCCCATCTGCTAGGAAATTTTTATCTTAAACTTAGCATTGAAAAAGTAATACTGATATTGTTCGTATTTAGCTACCTGGATTCCTGGAATTGCCCATAAGAAAAACACTTTTGGTTGACAGTTTACGAAACGAGTAGTTTATTGAAACACATTAAGAGGAAATTGTATTTTATCCCAAAAATACAGAGATGAACTAAGGGACTCTCATTGTAATTTCAAGTGAACTTTCATTAAAAGGGAGACATGATTCACACCGGTACCTTTAAAACCTGCATCTGATCTATAAAATGAATGATATCATCGTTTAGATCTAGATAATAAAGGGTTTAAAAATGAAAATTTCCTCCATCGGGTGTGAAACAGAAACCACATTTGAAAAATAATTAATTTTATAAGAGAAAATCAAGATCTTTCATACATTCTTGATCTCGATCAAACAAAGCTTTTAACGGTACCGTTGGGTATGAGGCATGCCAATATATATCTTTAAATGGAGGGTCACTTAAAATTATCCAGAAATTCAGTTTGAGAATTTTTTGGCATGCAGCACGCCTTGGATTTGCAGCACATTTTAGCTCGTATTTCGCAAACTTTTTCGCGAAATTTCGCACTTTTTCGTTAAAATGACAAAAGCGAAAAATGTGAAAACAAAGCGAAATTTCACGAAAAAAAATCGTGAAATTTTTGCAAAAACCATAGGAGTTGAAGCTGTATTTTGTCTTTTTTATGAATTTTCGCAAAAAATTTCGCGAAACGATTTTTCCTTTTCGCTGTAAACCCTAACCACGCCTTGTTGAGGATGATTTGCACACAAGTAAAAATTCTTGACCCCCTCCTCCCCCCCTTAAATAGACCAGTTGCGCTTTATCATAAAGATATATTTTTTTTTTGATAAAGATTTGTGCAGGAGGACAGAGGATACAGATGATGAATATATTCAATATCTAAACTCTGTAGATAGATATAGACAAAGCAACCCCAATCCAAAACCATTCAGGAAACTTATTTTTCACATAAACTTTTTGTTACATTTATTGCACGCAACTAGGAGAATAAAGATATTGCCGGATATTGTTGACCTTTGACCTTTTGTTATTTTATTTATTTTTATTATTATTTATTATTATTATTTTATTATATTATTATTGAATTTTAATTGATTTAAATTTGAAGAACCAATTAGCAAAAGTAAATTAGATTTTCAAAAAATCTATTTCTTAATGGCTAAATACTTGTTTTGAATTTCTTGAAGGAAAACACGATTTAATTCAGATTATCGTATGAACAGATTATCAAACGAAATATGAACGTAATCAATTTAAAAAAAATCTTAATACCTTATGATTGAATTAAAAATAATCTCTTTTTCACTTATTTCTTAAAAAACATAGTTTTAAGATTAAGTTTGATGGAGGTGGAGGGGGGGGGGGAGTAAGGGGGAGAGATTGTAATGGAAATTTTTTTTAAAAGTTTCTCGTTGTATTAAATGAAGAAAAATCTGTACTTTGTAAAAAGAATTTTTAAGGTTTGAAAACCACATAAACTTTTTTTTTAATTGTTTAGTTTGGTACAGTGGTAACTTTTGACATTTTTCAAGTAGGAGGAGGGAGGGGGATGAAAGAGTGCCCCCTCCCCCTCATAGAATATAAAATAAATTTTGGCCACTTAATAACTTTGTAAAAATCCATTCTTAAAAATATATATATATAGGAATTAAGATTTTCTTTAAATTGATCACGTTTATTGTATATATAAATAATAAAATGGGCTAGAAGCTGCCTCTCTCCTTGCGCCCCAAGTTTTCCAGATTAGGGGGTGGGGGATACCAAAATTGTTCCGGGGGGGGGGGGCTTGTCCCGGGGTTTGAAAATAAAGTTGTAGTAGACCTACAACAGCAAGACCAGATGCAATAGCAAACCCTGGACGCAAAATGTCCGACGGTCAAAATACTTTAAAACAACCTCAGGTAAACACGTTTTTTGATCAGACCTGGATATAGCAGGACACTATTATTTAGTCCTGTGTAATGACAATATAATTTAGTCGTGTGAACATACACTAGAATTAGTCCTGTGTACGGACACAATAATTTTTTTCTTTAGGTACAGTAGGACACTTTTATTTAGTCTTCTGTACTGTAGGACCTTAGCATTAAGTACTCCGTACTGTAGGACACTATTCTCTGTACACTAGGACACTGTCATTCAGTTCTCTGTATAGTAGGACAGTATCATTCAGTCCTCTTTACAGTAGGACACTATAATTTTGTCCTCTATACTAGGACACTGGCATGTAGTCCACATTACACTAGGACACTGTCATTTAGTCCTCTGCATAGTAGGACACTATTATTTTGTGCTCTGTACACTAGGACACTGTCATTTAGTCCTCTGCATAGTAAGACACTTGAATGTATCCTCTAAACAGTTGGACATTATCACTTTTGAATGAAAAAAATTATTGAATACTGAATTTTTGCCACAAACTCAAATGTCCGAATCACTACATTTGTGCAACCTACTGATGGAAACCAACTGATGGAAACCTTTGATATTTCAAACTAAGTTAATTTTATCCAACAGATTTCGTGGTTTAATATGTATACGACATTTGGATGCACAGATATACCACTAAAGAAAATAAACAGTTTAAATAATCGAATAATCGTGAATTAATTAATACTTGATCAGACAAACATTTTAAGGGCATCGTTTTAAATTGCAGGAATTGTAATTTTTGCTTTGAAGGTCACTTGAAACCACGCTTACAGTCCCTTTAATGTTTAATTTAATATTTCAAAAAAAATTATTTTTTAGGCTAAAAGCAAGCAAACAACCCCGGTAAGGGATCCTGAAATTGGAATCAGAGTTTCTAAAAGTGTACCCAAGGTAAAGGAGATTGAACATAGATTAACTAACATAACAGATAGAACACTAGATGTCGTCTTATCAAGAATTAAGGTTTTTCGTTCACAATAACCCTGAGGCAGAAGCCCAAAGGAGTTACGGCGCAGGCTCTCTGCCTGTCTTGTTTTCAACGTAGCATGCGCGTAACTCCGTTCGGCTTCTGCCTCAGGGTTATTGTGAACGAAAACCCCCTAAATCTTCAAAAGACGACATCTTGTGTCCTATCTGTTATTGTCAATTAATCTATGGAATTGAGTCTTTACCGCAAATCAAAATTTTCTAGTCCCGATATATCTTTTCAACCTGGTGTTTAACACCTTTGAGATTATGTTACTTGATCTAACAATTCATTCTTAAAAATATCTAAGGTCTTTGAAAATGGGTTTCAAAGATATATTGGGAGTAATCGTGGCAAAACTCCTTTCCTTTCATTTAGTAAAATTCTTTTTTTGAATTTTGGGAAAAAATTGTAAATCTTTCTCTTTAAATTTTTAAATTTTACATACATTATTTAAAAATTTATAAATTATTCCAGTTGATGAATTTGTAGACAAATGGTATAAAAAGTTGTCGGTCCGAATTTTATATTTTGACCGTTTTATCCCGTAAATCAGTTGGTTCGGCCGCTTGGACATTTATTTGATCCAAACCAAATCCAACTAACCAAGCCAACCGACCAACCAATCCAAACCTAGCCAAACCAACCAAACCAACCGACCAACCGACCAACCAAACCAAAGCAAACCAAACCAAACCAAACCAAACCAAACCAACAGACCAACCAAACCAAACCAATTAATTCTTGATTTTTTAAATTGAAAAAAATTGAAAATAAAAAAGTCTCTTTTATTTTAGGAGGTTAGCAAACACAAGACATTGGTAAAAGAAGAAAGTCAGGCGGAAATATTAGGTTTTCTCTTTTATTAAAAATTCGTCGTCGAATATATCAATACAATGAAGACGGCTTTCTATTTCAAATATTTGATTTCTACCAAGCTCTCAAACAGCAAGGATTCACAAACAAGATGCTGTCAATTAACCCTACTCTGGCTGGGGGGAGGGTCCCTGGGACGTCTTCATTTTATTGATATAAACGCCGACCATTGTATGTTAATATTATTGATTTGCTTGAAGTAACTACTAGTTATTATTTGAGATAAAAGGGAGTGTTCGCAAAATATTAAAATTGGATTCGGCAGACTGAACGCTAAAATAAGTAGGATTCTATCGAATTATTATAATTAAAATTTTTTTCAAGTGATCCAAGTTTTACTTCTGAGAATATTCATTCCTGTAATTTCTAGGATTTTTAATAATGAAGATGACATTTCCATGGAAATGATCGATAATTCAGATCCAACCGTCAAACAAGTTTTCTACAAGAAAATAATTTAATAACAAAATAAGAAAATATTATGAAATATTAACTACGTTCAACATTTCTATTCAGTAGTGAATTAGTAGCGAATAGTGATCGAAGCCGAATTTTTTTTAGTATTCATTTCATTTATCGCAAACATTTTAGGGTTTTGTTTTCGTCACGTTTCGTTTTTCACGTTTTGTCAATTGTTATCGAATTCTGTATTTTTTGACGTATACATTTGCCTTCCATGATATTATCATAATAATTGCACTATAATCTTTTATCAGTGAATGGCTCTATTCTCGTTATTTCAATCAAAAACAACATTTACACAACAATTAGTCCAAAAATACAATCATATACAGAACACATCTAAACCAACCAACCCTCGGCCTCAAAAAAAACAAATCCCCAGGAACTATATGTCAAGGTTATAATGCAAGGAAAGTTATTTCAGAGGTGTACGCACTACGCATCTTTTGTAATGCAGTGTACTGTCATTCACATTAATAATCAATGAAATATTCTGGTCATAGGAAACTATTACGTAAATTATCAAAAATATTAAAATTTAATGCTTTTAACCTCCTTGGATACTAAATAAACACTGATGCATCTATTCTTGTTTACAAATTCCGCCCAGAGAGAACTGGTTTTGAGTTTGTTTTTAATCTTTGTGAAGAAACAATCTCAAGAACTGACGAGGGTCAACCCAGACCGAAATATATTTTAAATAAATGTGGAACTAACATCTACTTTTTTACTCTACAGAGGTTTGGTCCATCACCATCACCGAATTTTAAATGGTTTCAATATGTACACAAAGTATACGCAACTGCAATTACCTTTCCTTGCGTTATAACCTTGCTCCATGCTAAGATGACAATGTCCGGTTTGCAACGGTACCCTTGAAACCTTTCTTTGATAAATAATTTGGAAGATATTGTCGTTTTTAAGTTTAAAAGTGTTTTATTCGGATAATTATTATTGTGTTTTCCTGCAGTAGAAATGCGCAAGTCACTTTTGTAGAGAAACAAATCTTAAAACTCATAATTTTTCAACATTGTGAACATTGATATTTAAATCATACTTTATAATGCTTTTAAGGATACCGTTGTCAATCTGGGAATTCCATTTTTTTATTAATATTATGCTTACAGTCTTTAAAGAAGAAGAGCGGCTTTAAATTTGTTTACAATACTCCCTGAAGCTAAAGTGTGTTTACTTTGCTTCCAGTAATTGCAGTACATATTTTCTTGTCTTGTTCCCGATAAATCTGTTCTTTAGAAGATCTGGAATAAGATTAATTGTAAAAGTTCGAGAAAAGTATTTATTGTCTGTCTCCCTGAAAATTGAGAAAAATCATTATATCTCCCTCCTAAAATTTGTTATTTTCAATTGTGCAGTTGTCCAGATAATGCACAATTCGTGAATCCGTCATGCCAGTCAAAAGATTGATTTTCACCGGAAATTACGTCTATACAGTTCCTTTCACCCTATTCATGCTGACGTCTCGTTTACCCCCCTCTATTTCCTTATTGTGATACAGATCTATAACATTTGATACATTTTTGGAAAGTTGCAAAATATTCAAATTTTTATTGCAATATCAAGTTATTAAGCAAAAATATGCAAACACAAAAGTGCGGAAAATATGAAATATTATACATTTTTGAAAAGCCGTTATCACGACGTATTCAAATTTCAAAAATATATGCAAAATTTTCAAAAACAAAATTTTTATTTAAGTAAAGCTGAAAATGTGCAAAGGCATCTGTGCAAAAATCTATGCAAAATTTCTTTACAAAAACTGTACAAACTGCTTCCTTTTGTTAAATGCTTTCAAAGGAGCTATAAAATGTCGAAATCCAACGACGACCGGATTTAGTTAAATAGATATAGTTGGGTAAAGGTAAAATAAGGCGATCGGGCAGTTGCCTGAGGATTCAGACAGTAGGCATAAAAGCAACGCGTTGATCCTAATGTAAGGGGAATGTGTTAGGTAGAAAGGTCTCAGACCAATGCTTTTTTAGATATCTCCCAAAAAGTCGGGGGAGGAGGTCCCGGGAACCCCCCCCCCCCCCCAGCAGGAATATGGTTAATTAACCACCCTTTTTACTGCTTCGTAAGTCCTGAATCCTTTTAGACTTCTTGAATAAAAAAGTATTTTTGATCAGGTTTAGTCCGGACGAACAAGGAAACTGGAGCTGTGGAGAAGACTAATGATATGGACTACGAGGACTACATGAACATTATCAACAGGGTCCGGAAGACGAAGGAGTTTACCAGGGTCAGGACGGAGCAAGCCAGACTAGCGAGTATGTATGCTCAGGTCAGATAAGTTAACCTGCCTTCCTTCCTCCTACCTTCCTATGCCTTCCTACCTTCCTACCTTCCTACATACCTAAGTTTTGCTTTCCTTCTCCTTCCCTTTGGCTTTCCTTCTTTTCCTGTTTTCATATCTTTTCTGTGCTCTTTAATTTTCCTTTACTCTCATATTCCCTTTTCCTTCCCCTTTCATTTTCCTGCTTTCTTTTCCCATACACTTATTTTTACCCATTCATTTCCCTTTTCCATCCAAATTCCTTTACCTTTACTTTTCGACCCTTCGCCTTCCTTTTCTTTTTTCTCCCTCCGCCCTCTCTCTTTAAATATATGAAAACTGAAAAGGTATATTTTTTACATTTTATCAAATTTAAAGTAACCCAGTACTGGATATCGAGATCAAGGGCTCTGGATTATGGGTACCCAACACAAAAGTTCCCAGCTCAGACACACAAAAGTCGTCTTCCTATTCCACAGTTTCTAGGGTCTCGAATATGATTTATTTAGGAGAGAAAACGACAAGAAGAGATTCAGTTAGAAGAAGAGAGATTGAGGTTGGAAAGAGAGAGATTTGACGAGGAAAAGAGAAGATCGTTCAGCCTTCCCACTCCAGGTAATAGATAATATAACCATGCTTCCCACTCCAGGTAATAAATAATATAACCAGCCTTCCCACTTCAGGTAATAAATAATATAACCAGCCTTCCCACTCCAGGTAATAAATAATATAACCAGCCTTCCCACTCCAGGTAATAAATAATATAACCATCCTTCCCACTCCAGGTAATAGATAATATAACCATCCTTCCCACTCCAGGTAATAAATAATATAACCAGCCTGTCTACTCCAGGTTATAGATAATATAACCATTCTTCCAACTCCAGGTAATAAATAATATAACCATCCTTCCCACTCCAGGTAATAAATAATATAACCATCCTTCCCACTCCAGGTAATAAATAATATAACCAGCCTTCCCACTCCAGGTAATAAATAATATAACCAGCCTGTCTACTCCAGGTTATAGATAATATAACCATCCTTCCAACTCTCCAGGTAATAAATAATATAAACAGCCTTCCCACTCCAGGTAATAAGTAATATAACCAGCCTTCCCACTCCAGGTAATAAACAATATAACCATCCTTCCCACTCCAGGTAATAGATAATATAACCATCCTTCCCACTCCAGGTAATAAATAATATAACCAGCCTGTCTACTCAAGGTTATAGATAATATAACCATCCTTCTCACTCCAGGTAATAAATAATATAACCAGCCTTCCCACTCCAGGTAATAAATAATATAACCAGCCTGTCTACTCCAGGTTATAGACAATATAACCATCCTTCCAACTCCAGGTGATAAATAATATAACCATCCTTCCCTCTCCAGGTAATAAATAATATAAACAGCCTTCCCACTCCAGGTAATAAGTAATATAACCAGCCTTCCCACTCCAGGTAATAAATAATATAACCAGCCTTATCTCTTTGTAAATTTATAATTTTCAGTAACGAATAGGGTTTCTATTCGCAAACCATTTGCGCAATTTTTGCAAAAGAAAGCGCAAATTGTTGCTTTCGTTGCGCTACATTTTTGCGCGGAGCGAAGAAATAGCACTTTGCGCAATCATTCGCAAATTTAATTTCGCGCAAACGTGCACAATTCCGCTTTTACGTTATTCTGTTTTGCGAAACAAATTTTCAGTAAAAGGTTGAATAAAGGTGAAAACTGTATAGTTTAGCTTATCTAAGAGATGCACTTTTTTATTATAACTGTAATGCTTAAAAAAACAGATTACTTGCCTAAAACTCTATTTTGCAACCTGATGCATGATTGCACACTGCAAATCAAGATGTGCACGATCTCACACAAAAGGCGAGCAGTATTTTGCCAATTACTCATTTTAGACTTAAGATAGAAACAGATTCGTAGCATTTTTAAAGTGGATATGTCTAGGCCTACATAAAAAGAATCAGTGAGTTGTTGAGGTAAAACCAACGGCCAAGGCGTTGTGACACTTCAAAGTTGAAGCTGTTTAAAAGATTGATGACTAAGTTTCAGTGTTGTCTTTATCTTAGTGGGCATAGATGTTAGATATTTTAATCATATGCATTCGAATAGACGTAGTCAACATTTGAAATGTCAAAGGTTCATACATCTATATAAACTATACATTCATTTTCAATTTTCAATTTTCTAATTTTTGTTTTGTTTATTTTTGTCTCTCAATTTGAAGATTTTGTAACTAAAAGTATCAAATTGAGAGTAGCAGATCGAATAATAACTTATTTGAATGTACATTTTTGAATAAACTTTTCAGTTGTTTTAATTAAGTGCTGAAACGTAGGTAAATTTGATATAACATGTTTTGCCTCAAAATTTACATTTTGCGCAATACTTCCGGTTTTGCGCAAATTACGCAAAACTTATTTCGCTAAATGCGAAAAGATGCGCAAAAATTCGCAAAAATAAAATTGTGCGCAATAAATATGGTCTTTTCGTGGAAACCCTACTAACGGATAAAATTGTCAGAAAAGAAACCTCTAAGTTAAGAAAAACTACCATATCTATATCTATATATATATCTATATCTCAGAAATATTTCAGAAGTACCGTGAAGTACATCCCCCTTTCAAATTTTGGGTCACTTAAAAATGCTTTAATAGTGACAGAGTGTCCCACGAAACTTGAGGATAGAAAGACGACTTGAGGGTCGTCATTGATCTCCTAGTTCTGGCATTTCCGAAATGTGGTCTGCCTTTTTTGTGCTGTCATATAACCGAAGATATTAAGAATTTCTTTCAGATTTCAATTTATTATACAAAACCAAAATTGTCGAAATCTGAAGTACACATAAATGCCGTAAATTATTTCAAAACTCAAAGACGACTTTAAAGTACAAAGCGACTGAAACCCTAGTAAATCTAATTTTTATGAAATTGAGAGAAAGATTAGTAAGACAGATTCTTAAAGGGGCTGTAGGCGTTACTTGAAGTAACCTTCCATTTATAAAATGGCTTTTCCGATTCAGAAAAGTACTCTTTTAACATTAAATTGATCAAGAATGATGGAATTATCCTTTTTTACCTACAGAACACTATAGTTTCAGTAGAAGTAAATATTTCCGTGTTCTGTTTAGCGCCAATTGAAGGATAATGAGATAGATAGAAAGATAGATGTTACCGCCATACTATTTCTATTGGTTCAGAATAGACAATAAACACATGACTCAACCCTGATTGGATCAGGCGCAAATGGACTCGGCTTGGGGTGAGAAACACGCTTGTAATTGTTGAGTTCACACTGTACGACTGCGCACACTCCTACTGTACGGCAATTTAAACACAATATAAAAGATAAACACACGGAGATCTCCTTTTGCTGACTAATCAAAGGGTTTAAGGGTACCATTGTATATCGTGCATTCCCCTCGTTAAGTGAAGCAAAGGGTTTAAGGGTACCATTGTATATCGTGCATTCCCCTCGTTAAGTGAAGCAAAGGGTTTAAGGGTACCATTGTATATCGTGCATTCCCCTCGTTAAGTGAAGGGTTACTTGAAATTGAGCCTACAGCCCTTTCATTACGAAATAACCCAGTAATAAATCTTGTTTTGATTTTCTAAATTATTTTATATTTGTTGCATATTCTAAATCTCTATAATTGACATGGTATTAAGAATTTTCAATATGTATTTAATCCATTAAATACATGATACATCATTATCTAAATATCATACTTGGTAACTCACAAAGGCATATTTGAATGCAATGAATATATTCCTGAAAATGTTTTTAATTATTAAAAAGCTGAATAGATTTTTATGAAATAGCAGGTTTTTAGAATTAGAGATTAGAAAAATTACAATGTAGAAGCACAATTCATATTCATTATCAATACTTTTAATATCATTTCCTATATTTCAATAAAACAAATTTAAATTACACCATTAATATATGTAACAGATCAATGTGTGTGAATTATATAATATATCTACTATAGTAATCATATTTAGCATTAATTAATTTAAATAAAATTTTGCCAAGAAAATTTCAAAAAATCCGCAAATTTTGTCAGCTGATGGTGGTTAGATTATGATGATGTTCCACTCCCTGTCCCGTTGCCCCCGCTTGATGAAGAGTTTTGAGACCCCCCTTCCTTCATTGTTGAATATTTTCAAAACCACTTATATTCCCTGAATATATACGTAAAGCAAAGCCCTAGCTTATATTGGTTACTGTTTAGTATGCAGGATACACACTAGAAATCATACAACATGTAAATTCAGACACCATGATAGAGCCAGCTCAGAATATCAATATATATATACCATGATAGAGCCAGCTCAGAATATCGATAGATGCCATTCACTCCAATCCATGCCCTGGTAGATTATCCAAACCGATACAAGTCTCTCTAAAAGTTGCATGAACTATCACAAGATATACTGGTTTGCATTCAGTTGTACTATCCAGTCTGGACTACCCAGTGTAGAGCCGACCCAGCACGTTTGTGCAAAAATGTAGCCTAGCTAGTAAGATCACAGTGAAGTATTTATTGGTACCGGCAGGACTAGCTTGTGTACTGAACCCATTACATGTTATACACTAAATATGATAGATCTGCAGTGCTGAAAACTAAGAAACAAGCATTTCGTCATTTCTTACATTTTTATCAGAATATCGAACAAACCGAAGGCATTTCGTAATGTCTAACATTTTAATCAATAAATCGAACATATCAAATGTATTTTGTCAAATCAAATATTTTAATCAGAATATTGAGCTGCAATTTTACTCTTACTTCAGGATAGTTAAGACAGTAATTTTCTAATAGATAAAGAGCACATCCTGGTTTAGTTGTTTGTAAATGTCAAAACCGTCTTTCATTAAGAGGAAAAGATGACATTTTAATGTCTTCCCTTTTAAATGGAGCATACCATATTTTTTCATGTCATATAAATCTGATTAAATAAAATAAACTAAAAAAATTATAAAAGATTTATAATTTTCAACAAAAACATTTTTATTTTAGAAGTTCCCGTTTATACTCAGAGACTTTCGGAAGAAAATGTTGAAAAGGGACAATTAGACAACAAGGAANCATTAGACAACAAGGAACCAACAACTAGGACATTAGACAACAAGGAACCAACAACTAGGACATTAGACAACAAGGAACCAACAACTAGGACATTAGACAACAAGGAACCAACAACTAGGACATTAGACAACAAGGAACCAACAACTAGGACATTAGACAACAAGGAACCAACAACTAGGACATTAGACAACAAGGAACCAACAACTAGGACATTAGACAACAAGGAACCAACAACTAGGACAACCTAAGAAATGAAGGGGAAAATATTTATCAGAAATGATTTTAAAATTTATTTCGGAGTATTTTTAAAAACTGGATAAAAGATCAACAATATTTGCCTGAAAGAAATTTTTAAATAAACATTCATGTACTTAATTATATTTATAAAACCCTTTAACATTCTTGAATATCTTATTTAAAACGATGATTTTAATTTTCAGGAGTTTTATGAATCCCACTTAACAATTTGAGTGCATTAAAATTTTGAATACATTAAAATTTGAATACATTAAAATTTGAGTACATTAAGATTAGAACACATTAAAATTCGAATACATTAAAATTTGAATACATTAAAATTTTGAATACGTTAAAATTTGAATACATTAAAATTTGAATACATTAAAATTTTAATACATTAAAATTTTGAATACATTAAAATTTGAATACATTAAAATTTGAATACATTAAAATTTGAATACATTAAAATTTGAATACATTAAAATTTGAGTACATTAAGATTAGAACACATTAAAATTTGAATACATTAAAATTTGAACACATTAAAATTTGAATACATTAAAATTTGAATACATTAAATTTTGAATACATTAAAATTTAAATACATTAAAATTTTAAATACATTAAAATTTGAATACATTAAAATTTGAATACATAAAATTTTGAATACATTGAAATTTGAATACATTAAATTCTGAATACTTTAAAATTTGAATGCATTAAATTTTGAATACATTAAAGTTTGAATACATTAAATTTTGAAAACATTAAAATTTGAATACATTAAAATTTGAAAACATTAAAATTTGAATACATTAAAATTTGAATACATTAAAATTTTGATAAGAAAAATATATTTCAGGTTTCTCCGAAGGCTTCCTTATATGATCCCGTAGCTATAGCAACTAAACCAGGAGTACAGGTAAATATTTACAATATTATACATAAAGGGACTGCTAGCAAATTTTCAGCGACCCTCCATCTATTAAGTGTCATGCCTGAATCACAAAAGTACACCTGATAAAGAATAATGACAATTTTTTCTAATTATTTGATTGTGGTTTCTCCACGTGAAGAAACTGACTTGCGGATTTATGTTGCAGAGATGGTGAAGGAAAGGATATTGAAAGAATATTAAACTTTTCTAGCTGAAAACCTCGAAAAATTCGATCAGATTATAGTTCAAAGGTTGCCGTTGTGAGTCTGATATGGCACTTTTAAAATGAAGGATCACACAACAGGCTCGTTTAAAGGGACTGTAAGTGCAATTTAAAGTGACCCTACATGCAAAGATGGCAGTGTCCGATTTACAATGATACCCTTGAAAACTTTGTCAGATTAGGTAAAAATTAGATATTTTTGTATGGAGGATCACTTAAAATCACGTTTACAGTCCCTTTAAAACATCAAATGTTTGACAAATGTATCAAATATAAATTTACAATAGTATTTCATAAATATGTCTCCATCTAAACCCCCCTAAATATTATTTTGAAGAATGCTGGCAAAAAATGGAAGAAAATATCCAAACTAAGGTACTAATGCAAGGAAAGTTAATCGCAGTTGCGTATACTCTGCGTACATATTAAAACCAGTTCTCTCGGGGCGGTGTTTGTAAGAAAGAATAGATACATCAGTGTTTAGTATCCGAGGAGGATAAAAGCATTAAATTTTGATAATTTTGATAATTTACATAATAGTTTCCTTTGACCCGAATATTTTGATTTTTTATGTAAAATACGGATCCCATGCCAGGCTGAGACATCCGTCTTGTGTTTACATTTCCTCCTATAGACAGTACATTGCAGTACAAAAGATGCGAATACCTCTGAAACAACTTTCCTTGCATTATAACCTTGATCCAAACTATCGCTTTGTTTTTCATGTAAAGAAGAAATAACTTCCTCTGTGAACCTCTCTAAATGAAGGGTAAATTGAATACAGTACAATACAATTGTACTATAAATGACAGCTGACTAGATACTCTGGATACACTCCAATGTACTATAAATGACAGCTGACTAGATACTTTGGATACAATCCATTGTACTATAAATGACAGTTGACTAGATACTCTGGATACACTCCAATGTACTATAAATGACAGCTGACTAGATACTCTGGATACACTCCAATGAACTATAAATGACAGCTGACTAGATACTCTAGATACAATCCATTGTACTATAAATGACAGCTGACTAGATACTCTGGATACAATCCATTGTACTATAAATGACAACTAACTAGATACTCTGGATGCACTCCAATGTACTATAAATGAGATCTGACTAGATACTCTGGATACACTCCAATGTACTATAAATGACAGCTGACTAGATACTCTGGTTACACTCCAATGAACTATAAATGACAGCTGACTAGATACTCTAGATGCACTCCAATGTACTATAAATGACAGCTGACTAGATACTCTGGATGCACTCCGATGTACTATAAATGACATCTGACTAGATACTCTGGATACACTCCAATGTACTATAAATGACAGCTGACTAGCAGAGACAATCTCCCTCTCACCTGCAGCAACCACTTTGTTACTTCATCTTCCGCTAATAATCAGTTACGTCATACTCATATGAGGATTTTGAGTGTCTATTTATGAGAAAAGACGAAAATTTTAGGACATCCAGAGATCTGGCCTTAAAAAACAACTATGATCCGGGATCTGTAAATTTTGGTTTAATAATATTGACAAATCAGGAGAGAGGAGAAGGAAACAGGAAGGAACAGGAGGAAAAAGCCGAACAGCTACGACTGCAGCATGTCAGAGAACAGCAAATAAGGTTTTTTCTCTTCTAAAAATTACCTTATAAATAATTTATTGATTATGAAAATGAATACTTGCCATAAACTTGAATCTTCTATTCCCTACATCTTTGCAGCCTGATGGTGTAAATCAATCTCAGGTTGTAAATATATGAGCATTACATTGAGATCTAGGCAACTCTGAAAGATTTTCGTCAACTTTTTAGACAGCCTCTACTTTAAAGTGTCGCAACGCCTTGGACTTGGTTTTACCTCACCAACTCAATTGTACTTTTTCGTTATAGCCTTAGACATATTCAATTTAAAATTGCAAAAATAGCTTAAGCTTAAGTAAGTGGTAAAACATTTCTCGAGAGCGGGAATATTTTAGTTCGCGGTGGTTTGTAAATTAGAGTTTGTGACAAATATTTTTTTTCCTTTTTGTAAAAAATCCTGGCATAAATTACTCTGAAATGTTTGCATGCATACTTTAAGAATACTTGTCACTGTTCATTAAATTACTAAATAAGAAAACTTTTGTAAACATTCATTACTAAAAGTGGAACTAATTACCTAGATATTCGACTACTTTGCACGCTTACAAAGCCCTTTTATTTCCATCTTATCGTCATAGATTTTCACTGCAAACTAGATAGATAGATAGACGGATAGATAGATAGAAAACTAGACAGAAGGCGAATGTTAAATTTATTCGACATCGCCTACTTTGTTTTGATTTTTTGCACAGAGGAACTAAGTTTTTGCACAGAGGAACTAAGTTTTTGCACAGAGGAACTAAGTTTTTGCCCCAAACTCAAATTTTCTAATCCATTTATCGTTTCAACATGATGGTGTAAACCTTTTATGATTCAAACTTATATTTTATGATCTTACAGAACTTATTAGAAAATCCGATTTTGTGGGGAAAAGTGAATTTAGAAATTCAAAACATTTTCATTTTTCTTCTCAATAGCTTTCTTAATAAACTAGGAGTTCAGATTGAAAACATTCAAGATTTCAGTAAACTCTAGTTCGACATGTATTGAACCGAACTTGGTTTCTATATTTGTTTTGAGAATATTGAAATAATAAGCATTTGAAATCTAAATTATGAATTGTGAATTATAGATCTTTAGACATAAGTATTGCATTGTGTTAAGAGAAACTAAACTTGTGAACTTCAACTCAAATTGCGGTTAACTTTAAATTAGAGATTAATGTTAGAGAACTCGAAAAAAAATGCATAAAACGCAGAAAATTGCGGCGAGCACCTACTGAAGATGCGGTAAAATCAAACTGAAGAATTTAAGTAAACTAAAAACACTAAATTGCGTTGAACCCAAATGACATGACAGTAAACTCGTAGCAAACAAAATTCGGTAAATTGTGATGAACAGAACCTGGAAAATGCGGTGAATTACTTTGAATTGAAACAGGAAATTGCAGTGAATTAGGATTAACAGAAATTGGAAAATGCGGTAAATTACGATTAACAGAACCTGGAAAATTCGGTAAATTGTGATTAACTAAAATTGGAAAATGTGGTAAATTACGAAATTGGAAAATGTGATAAATTACGATTGATTGAAACAGGAAAATGCGGTAAATTACGTTGAATTGAAATTGGAAAATTCTTTAAATTACGATGAACTGGAATCGTAATTACTTGAAAATGAAACGGAAAGTAAGTAAAGTAAGAAGAATGAAACGGAAAGTAAGTAAAGTAAGAAGAATGAAACGGAAAGTAAGTAAAGTAAGAAGAATGAAACGGAAAGAAAGTAAAGTAAGAAGAATGAAACGGAAAGTAAGTAACGTAAGAAGAATGAAACGGAAAGTAAGTAAAGTAAGAAGAATGTCGGATCTGGAAAGTTTCCAAGTTTCTAAACTCTACTATATACTCTTAGTTAATATGTACATCTCGAAGCTAAAGTGGAATAAATAAACAAGAAATGTAAATACGTGATTATGCAGGTTTACGTTAAAAACTAGAATATTTTATTAAAGATGGTCTTTGGTTAACCCACCACAAATCAGTATTCTATAAATATCCGATGTATAAAGATTTGGATACTTGAGTCAATGATTAAAAATAGATATTGGGTGTCCCAATAAACATGGGAATTAAGTGACGACTTCTATATCCACGCAGCACCTGTCCGAGATCACTTTATTAGTTATAACATCATTTGTCACCGAAAGCTGTTATTCTTGGGATTTCCAGAGTGTAGTTTGCCAATTTTATAGCTTCAAAAATAACGGGATTTGTCCGAGTTCTTGTATATCAAATTACTAAAATTTTTGAAATATTTAGTATTTGGTAAATTTTAGAAGTTCTAAAAAGAGCAGACCACAATTTCAGAAGCTCATATAACGTAGTTCTTCTTTTATTAACTCTGTTTTCTATCATCAAAGACGATAAGTCGTCTTGTAATTCCCATGTATATTGTGACCCCTTGTATCAAATTTAATCTACAATTTTTGTGAAAAAATGAAAAATATTTTTAATCAATTAAAATTGAATTTTATAGAATATTTTTATAAAAAAAATTCTTTTCAAAAATCCTCTTAATTGAAACTTTAAAATGTTCTTCTTAGCATTTTTATATAAAAACTTTCATATTTTAATAGCATGTAGTTTGGTTCCAATGAAAAATCTTAAAAACAAATTAAAAAATAGAAAGTTTAACCTACTTTTTATTTTCAAATTATTTTTCTTCATCATATCAAGTTTTAAGCAATTTGAGAATTTGAGTCTTGCATGAGTATAAAACAATTTGAGAATTTACACGTCTTTTTCATCTGGAGCAACCATGTTATCTTTTCAACAATGTATAAACAGCTTTTTTGGGCTATTTAACAACTTTAAATCATAAAGATTTAAATCTAAAATCAGTCGTTTCGGCTTTTATGACAAACAAATGAGCAAAAAAGAAAAAAAACTGTGCACTTCCCAGAAACTTTAATTTTCTAACTCTTTGCAACCTAAGCATTTAAAACTTAGACTATTTGATCAAAAATAATTCAGAGTTATAAATATCAATGGTCTGTGACATTGGGTCATGGGTGTTTGTTAAACTGCAATAAGAACAACTTTTAAAAAACAACATACTATTGATTGGCCAAATTTTAGGCAATTTTGGCGATGAAAAACAAATTTGAATTTAATTTTGTTGTATTTTAGACAACAGAAGCTACGAGAGGAACAGGTCTTAGCAGAACAGAAGAAACTAGAACAACTCAGGTAGATACAGGATCACCAGAATAAAATGAAAACGCAGTTTTATCATCTTTTTAGAAAGTACTAATCATTATATTTTGCAGTTCAGTTTCAGTTAAGTTTATTTCTTTTAGATATTTTTAGAAGGTCGGTTCAATCAGATTCAAGGAAATAACACCCAATGAGAAATTGCAAAAATAGGGATCAGCTCATTTTCACGGATTAAGCAATTTATCCATTCAATAATTCTAAGTAGTTCAGAGCTGAAAACTTTTGAATGGAAATCCTTAATCTCGATTGGTTAATTTCTAAAGTTAGCTCAATCTCACACAAAACTTGGAAATTTATTTTAATTTTGAACCTGCATCCGAATGAATAAGAGTTGAGTTATTATTTCAGCCAATAGATTTATGAACCCAAGATGTGCGGCACTCTGATTGGTTGGTATTTCAGCCAATAGATTTATGAACCCAAGTATGCGGCACTCTGATTGGTTGGTATTTCAGCCAATAGATTTATGAACCCAAGATGTGCGGCACTCTGATTGGTTGGTATTGTCTGACAATATTCCTGCATCAGCTAACTTAAAATTTGGGTTGTTCGAAACCTTGAACTTTGAATCAATGATTCAGAATTTGAGCCAGTAAGCAATTGAGAAGTAGTTCAGCGACCTCCCTTCAATTCATTGAAAAAAGTTTAAAAAGAAATATTCATTAAACAAAATGTCTATGCCAATTTCCAGGATTATTTTCTTTTGTTGGAGGCTTATCTTAGTTTTTCATGGTATTCCAGAGTCCTTCCTACATTATGCGCTGGATTTCACTAAATATTGTTGTTGTTAAAACTAGAGGCTTGTATTAGAGAAACAATTATGTGATATGAATGGTTTGGAAATTTTATCAACCAAAATTAACTTAAATTCGGAAAATACTCATTTTATATGTAAATTTAGATAAATAAAAATAAGACAGACCCTATGAAAAAGTATAATTTGGAAAGCTTAATCATGAAATTACCTAATATTTTCACCTTGCACTTCCATTAGCCTGGTTTATTTTGTTGCATGAATTAATAGCAGGTAGCAATTAAACTGCATTGCAATGTTTAGTCAATCTCTAAATTGATTAGGGATTTTAATATCCATTCATTGATTAATCTCTGATTTATAGGAGATCCTACTATTGTTGCATTAATTGTTTTAGATATACTTACTTATAGTAGCACCAGTCAGATAAGATAGTGCACATTCTCACCAGTGCTATGCAGACTGCGCAGAAGCACTAGACCCACTTTGGAGAGAGTCTAGAGCTACTCTGCATAACGCTGGTATGGAGGTGCATGCCCTTATCTAGCTGGTGTTACGATGCATAAGTATATTTACAAGAGTATAATCTGTGAATTGTTCAGGGAGGAGCAGGTTCGTCAGGACCAAGAGAGAGAGGAAATTCGGAGCTTGGAGATTGAAAGGTTAAAGCAGATCCAGGAGGATCAACAGAGACTTGAGGAGGAGAGGAACAGGCAGCAACAACAAATCAGGTACACAGTACACACCACCATAGTGTTACTAGTTTCAATCAGAGTTTCCCAAGAACAATAAAATTTGTCTTAAAGAATGCAGTTGTTTACTTCAAAAAAATCATACCAATAACACAAATTCAACAAAATACAGTTAGGACTAGAATTTCTCTTGTGCACAAACGCAACTTTTGAAAATGAGTTATTTGTCAGAGTGATTTGGTTTCCCAATTTTGTAGTTCATGGAATGTGGATATTGTAAAATTATTTAAAGTTAATTTCTTAATTCAGTTTTATTTCTGAGTTTCAAAAAAACTATTTTTAATATTCTTTGAGACTGACTGTTTTTTCAGGATGGAGCAGCTAAAGTTGGAAGAGGAGAAGAAGAAGCAGGAGCAGCTTCAGAGGGATCGTCAGGAGCAGTATCAGAAACAGGTCATTAGCTGCTGTGCTTTGATTAATCTGTCCTTGCAGTTTGAGAAAAGACATATAAATATTAAGAGACATGATACTTTTTTCTTAACCCTATCCCTATTGGATCTTTCATGTCTAATATGGATTGAGGGGAGGGGATTGGGTAGGAAACACATGATTTTGCCCTGAGAGTTGAGATACGGGAGTGTGATACATGTTCTTAGTCAAACTTTTCAAGAACTGCTCATTGAAAAACATTAGACCTCTAACTTTAATGTTAAGGGTGCAAAAGAGGATTTTTCAAAAGTTTGACAGTATTAACATATGATACATGTTATTATATCCATTTTTCAAGGGTTTTTTAAATATATAAATTTAGCTTATTTAATAAAAGAGTTTTTAACCATTTCTGATTTTTTACAAACACCCCCCCCCCCTAATTGTGATAATGCCTCTGCTTATATGTATGGTTACTTATAGTTTCAACTTTAGGAAAAATAACCTTATTTACTTATCGTACACATTTTTCAGGAGGAGGAAATGATGGCTAAGGCTAAGGCAGTTGAAACAAAGAAACTTGAAATGGAAAGGCTGAAGATAGAGCAATTAAGAAACTCTTCAATGAGTCCTCATGAAAAACTAATCCATGAACGACTTCGACAGCAGGAGAGGTTGAGAGAGGAACAACTTCTTGAAGAGGCACAAATTAGACAAGAAAAGCTAAGTTTAATCCGCCAAGAGGAAACCCTGTTGATGAGACAGGAAGAAATGTTGAGGCAAATTCAGGAGGAAAAAATGAAGCTCTTGAAACAGGAGGACTTAATTCGAAACAGACAACAGGACAGACTCAAGCAGGTTAGAGCAGAAAAAGCACTGTTAGAAAAACAAGAGCAAATGCTGAAACTACGGGAAGAGCAGCTGTTGCAAGAACGGATAAGACAAGAAAAACTTAGAGAAGAGGCCTTCAATCTAAAGAAACAAGAAGAAGAAATTAGACGTAGACAGGAGGAAATAACAAAAGAACTGTTGAAGGGTGAAATGTCCCTTCAAGGTGTTGATGATGTGATGGTGTGTCAGGCAAGGGAAGGTCAAGTTTTCCAAGGCAGAAAACCACAATTTCCAGAGAGAGTTCTTGATTGCAGTTTAGTGGATGTTCAGCAATTAAATACATCAGATTGGTCAAGTTCAGATGCTGAGTCTATGAGACCGTATAGGAATAGCATGAAAGATGTACCAACCTATATGGAGGCAAATGATAACTATGATTCAAATCCTTTTTATGTACTTAATGAAGGTGCTGAAGAGCAGAAAAATGAGGAATTCAGTGGTTCTAGTGAAGAAGAGGATACAATGGAGGAAGACTGCTATGAATGCAAGGTGGAAGTAAAGCAGCAGAACACCCAAGTTCCAACAAGTGTAAGGACTATAGAAACAGCAACTTTGCCAGGCTGGGCACCTGTCACTCCTTATCTAAATATGTCTAAGCATCTTCCTATAACAACACAAGAGGAAATATCTGCAATCTTTACAGAGTCAAAATCTCAGGGTTCACTGTATAAAACGGCAGGGATTGTTACATCACCTGAGAGTGTTATGACGTCAACGAATATGATAACAACTCCAGATAGCAGTATATCTTTGCATTCACAAATGTCTAACAATGAAATGGACCTTTCCTCTTGCCCAGCCTCCCCAATTCCTCCAATTCCACCACTTCCTAAAGACTCTAAAGATCTTATGTCTGACCACTTTCAAACTGTTCAGCCAGATGTTCCTCCAAGAGATGATTCCTTTAACATCACAGCAGTCTACAGCACCGATCCTCAGAGTATATTTACAGAACAAGCTATTACTAGCCAGGCACCAGGTCAAAGAAGAAGCTTAATTGTACCAAGTTCTATTTCTATTCCCTCATACAATATGCAAGACCCACAGCTATCACCTAGACTTGGAGGTCCAGGAAGTGCCTTTCGACCATATGCCAGCAGTGAGAATCTTTATGATGCCAGTCTTTTTCCTTCTTCAAAACCACCAGTTTCAATTTCTAATGGTCATTCAACACAGAAAATCAATAAGAGACATTCAACATCCTCTATAAAGCAACATAAGATAAATGAATCTGATGACAACTTCTTTAAGCCAAGAGCTAAACATCTTAGAGCCCCAATAATGTCCACAACTGATACTGAACCTGAAATGAAAGAGTTCAATTTGGGGCCAATTGGTGGGGATAAAAAGGGAAAGAAGTATCAGAAAAATGTGTATTCAACAAGTGAAACAGAGGAAGAATATCAAGCATACTTAAAAATTAAACCTAAATGGCATGGCAAGGGAGGGCATAAAGATTCATGGGATCCTCTGCAGATAGCCAGCCCTCCACAAATTGTGCAGCGTCCTGTAGGGGTTGTTCAGAAACCCAAGCCGCAAGCAAAACCATCTGTAAAAATAGAAAGAGGTGTGGAATATACAGGAGCCTTTGCTGCAAATGATTATGATAAGAATTTCCGAGAGGCATTCATCAATTCTCAAATGCATGCAGAAATTGATGCCAGTGCTGGTTATATTCCTGAAAGAATCGATAAAATCCAAAAATCTGATACAGTTGTGGAACTAAGGAACAATAATAGCTTAGTGCCTCCCAATGAGCGAATTCAAAAATCCACATCAGTTATTGAGGTCATTCCAGCCAATCTGAAGCTAGCTTCTGGTTCCCCTAGAAACTATCAGGGTTCACATTTAAGAGAGCCTTTTAATCATTCCATTGAAAACAATTATAATCAAGACAAAAATGTTCCTGTATACAGCAATCAAGAACCAGTTAATCAAACATTTCCCATTAACACAATGCTACAAATTCCTCAAGTATATAGTCCTCCAGATTCAGAGGACCAGGCTACCCCTCAAGCACCAAGGCGGCAATTTTTGCCAAATCAGGCTTCATTTGAGTCAACAAACTCATTTTCTGAAACAGATGATGGCACTGAAAACTTAGCTCCACAATTAAAAAGCAACAAAGAAGATCCTGAGACTAAGAAAAAAAAAGAAATTCACAAAAATTTGATGTCTGAAGCATTGAAAAAAGTAGAGTTAAGGAATAATCAGAAAAAGAATTTTTCACAATTGTCTAGAACTAACCCAACTATTGCAGCACTGGATATAGTTACCAGAAAGGAACTAAAGTTAGAGGAACTTGAGATTAAACAAGAGCAGGAAATGTTAAGGAACCGCAATAGATCTGGATCATCAAATATAGATGATTCCAACAAAAAAAATTTGGGTGGTGTAAATCAAAATGTTTTACAATCTTTTCGACAACAAAGTATACACAAGGGCACTTCTTCTAATCAAAATGGGGCCTCTAGGGAAGCATCAATACAAGCAAAGAAAGCTGGAACTCCCGCTAAACCAGATTTAATGCCCAAGCCAGGTGAGTTGGTAACTCCACAGCAAGGCAACAGTTCTGATACTCTTGAACCAGTTGTAGTTTTAAGAAAACAACCAAGAATCCTTGATCAAAAAGAGTTATCAGCAAGGCAGTCATCGGAAAAACTACGAACAGAGGGTAAAAGTACCCCAATCCTTGACATTCATCACAGAATCAAGTCTCCTGAAAACAAAAGTGTGACCTATGAAAACAAAATTAATGAAAAGAGTGAAATTATTGAAAACAAAGGAAAGAACCTTTCAAATGATTTAGAAGAGGGTGAGCAGGAAAAAACAATAAACAATTTTGGAGCAAAAAATGTCTTAAAAAAAACTCTGTCTGAAAAGGAAAGCAATATTGTTAGAGCAAATGAGAAAATATCAGCAGCTCAACAAAAAATCCTAAATACAGAGCAGAAGCTATCGATTAAACAAAATTTGCAAGGAGTTGTCCAAGTCAAGCCAAAACAAATTGATCCTACAAGGGGTGTGACAGTTGCAAGACCCCTAAATGAAAACACTAGTTCTAGCATTGATGAATCTAACAATAACATAGCATCTGTAAAAAAGGCAGCTGAAAAGTATGAAAATAAAAGTTATCAATCTGACACATCTCCCAATATTAACTCCCATTTACGTTTAAGATCTAAGTCTATTGGTAGCAACAGGAAAGATTTGTTTGAGGAATCAACAGAACCAAATGCAACCAAAGCAAATCTACCCTGGGCTGTTAAATCCCCACCTGTTTTAAGGAAAAGAGATGCTCAACGAAACAAGGGTTATGTTCTTCAAATGAGCAAGTCCTCTGACAGTATAACTGCAGCTAAACTTTTAGCAAAGGCTAGGGCAGATAATTACAATGCCACAGGTCTACGCATCAATCAAAACTTGTCGAAGTCAATTGAAAAACAAATTGATGTTTATTCAAAGACCAAGGAGGAGATAAGGTTGATTTTAAGCTTGGCAAAATCAGGCTCTGTTAATGATAGAGTAGAACTATTCACTAACATGGTAAATGCAAGGCCTGAAAAGTCTGATCCTGAGGCAAAAGCAGAAATTATTAGAAGAGAGATTGAAGATGCAAGAGCTCAAATTCATGACACTGTTTCTGACACTGAAATAGAATTTCAAGATCCTGTGGAGTCTAAAGTAAAACCTTTAAAGATACCAATGAAGCCAAAGCTTCTTGATAAACCTGATAATTCCAAATCTGGTGTAGGTTTGAGAATCAATCAGGGTTCTGCAGGGGATGCAAGGAAAGAACGACGTCAATCAATTGATGAGCTACCTTGTGTTAAATCTAAAATCTCTAATTATTTATGTGCAACAGAGGAATCAAATAAGGCCGCAACTGCTTTGGGTGATACAAAGCCAATGAAACCTATTCTTGTTAATAAGAATGCAGAATATTTAGATAGAGGCAAGGAAAGGAGCAGAAGCCCAAAAAAAAAGACACCAAAGCTTGTCAGTAACCATTTCCTGACACCTGAACAAAACTTCCAAATCTATGCCCAATCTGCAACGGATCTATCAGCAACAGAAGATGAATCTGAGACATACCATCGGAAGAAAAGCATTCCTTGCCAGCTTTCTTCTCAGGATCCAGGCCCAAATCTTTTAAGTGTTCCGCTGAAAGAACAAGCTGAAGTAAAACCTGGCATAATGAAAAGTAAATCATTTGCAGCAACGGGACAGTTTGAGGGCACAATAGAAAACTCTTTGGTAACTCACAAAAAACAGACGATGATGGCCTTCTTTACTCCTTCAGAACAAAAGCCCAAATCTATTCTAAAAAATAAGCCTAAAAGACGCAATAGTGTTTCCTCCCTGACAGATGAAGTATTAGCTGAGGAGGACCTTGTGGATGTTGATGCTGAATTTGAGAGCCTTTTAAATAGTACTTTCGAGAGGGAGTCCAAGATGAATTCTAATCTAAGAAGCACAAACGCTGGATTTCAATCTGGGAAAGGAAAGGGAATTGGGTCGGCAGGCAGCCAAGCCCGGGCAATGCAACATTCAGTCTTGCAAGGAAACTATGCTAGTAATGATCCTAAATTGAATTCTAAACTTCATAAATCTAAATCTTTCAGTGCGTCAGCTTACAATGAGAGTGATCCGTTAGCTCAGAGTGAAATGTTACAAATCAATCAATCAATAAAGGATGGTTTTGACCCAATTGCGGCGCTGCCATCCTCCCAGAATAGACATCAGCGTCGTGTACAAGGGGGGACGCCACCCTCACAGCATAGCCCTTCACCAACTCAGAGTGAGTATGATACTGCTGATCCATGGGACGAAAGTTAATAAACAGATTTTAAAGTTTTACTTAAGATAATAACAGATGAAATAACTTAACAATACTTGCAGAATTTTGATATGTGATTAATATGTATATTATATATTCATATTGTACATCAAATTTATTCTAAATACAGAGGAAAATAATATATTACATAAAGATATATTTTTCTTTTGTTTTCAGTCAGGTGTTTTCAATACTTGCTAGTGTTGCAGTTTTCTTCGCAAAATCATCTTTATTGTTCTTCTATTTTATTGATTTTTAAATGATGTATATATTAGATAGTTTCAATTTGGATTTTGATATTTTAGGCAGAACTTTATCCAATAACATGAAAATGATGTCGCTTATGAATGAAAACAAAATTAATGAAAAGAGTGAAATTATTGAAAACAAAGGAAAGAACCTTTCAAATGATTTAGAAGAGGGTGAGCAGGAAAAAACAATAAGTCTCTCTTGTCTGTCTTGTCTATATTTTCAGCATAGTACATAGATAAAAATTGTACAAATCAATTAAATATTTAAATATTTTCTGTATAACTATTTTCATTTAATATTCTACAAAAAGATTATCCAAAGTAAAATATATAAAAAACAATGGATTTCAATGAATTTATAATTAGAAACCTTGGTAGAAGGAACTCAAAGAAAAGCAAAACAAAAAAATCGAAAAAAATTATTTTCTATTTTTAACGCTATTTTCCGCAAATCTTTTTTATGAAAACTTCGCAGAGCGGAAGGCTACAGTGAGTCCCAGTAAACTGTGCAATTTGAAGACGACATTTATAAGAAATTTTATATCAATAGCTTGAAAATCTAAATATTAAGTAAAAAGGGCCTGAGTACACGCAAAATAGCTGGAATTCATTTTCATTCATTGGACCATTTAAAATCATAACTTTAGTCTAACAGTTGCCTTTCTTTTTCACAGTCTATCCCATTATATTTTATCTAATTAGCACAAAGGACAGTGAAAAAACATTATATCCCACCTCGGAATAGGTCGGATATGTGCAATTTATTTTTCAACCAATATGAAGCATAAAGTCTGGCCGCGTCAACCTTGTTGCACCGGCTAGTCCTGTCCATAGAGCTAGGTACAGTACAAACTGGAACCGGAAATTCAAATGTACTACGGCTGCCCGTAGTAACGATTTTGTTTCATTAATTTGTCGAAAACTTGACTTTATCTAGAAACATCCACAATCAGGTCGATCATTAATCCTAACATTATTTTCAACCTCTCAAAATTTACCAAAGACAGATCGATCTATTGAACACTCTGTGAGAATTAGCTACCACTGATTTCTCATCAATGGCTAAATATTTGGTTTCTCGCAGTCGAATCTGAGCTAGAATGGTATACCTTTAATCCCGATTGCTTAATCTAAATATTCCATGTGGGCACTTTTAATTTCCTTCTTAATCCACTCTTTTTTATCTTTTCTCCCTGCCAGTTTCCGACCAATGAGAGTTTACTCATTAAATGGCGCGCAAATTTCAAATTTCCCGTCTTCTCTGATTGGCTGTTTCTCCAAACCCCACTCGATTGGTTGAGTTATTTACACTTTTGTTTAACCCTATCTCTGCTGGGGTACTTGAAAACCAGGATATGCTGGGGGGGTTCAATTTGACCCCCCCCCCCCCCTCTAAATCCCATGTTTGATGTCCAAATATGACAAATGATACATCATTGACATCATTGGAAAGCTCTTGTGCTCTACTTTTAGAATCTGCAAAAAAATTGCCAAATTGGCAAAAAATTGAATTTTTTATCGCAAAATCCAGTTATATAGTAAAAATGTTTGCAAAAAAAATTTGTCCAAAAAATGACAAATTATACATTTTTAAAAAGCCATTGACCATGCCATTTCAAATATTGCAACAATTTTTGCAAATTTTAAATAACCTGATTTTTAATCAAGAAAACTAAAAATGTGCAAATTTCCTCTGACAGGTTGTTTGCAAAAATTTGCAATTTTTTCGCAAAACTTGTGCAATTCGTTTCCTTATGTCAAAGACTTTCCAAAAAGCTAAATTTTATCAAAATCTGACAAGTGGATATGGGTCAAAACAAAGATTCAGTTTGTCACAGGAAAAAGCAGTGATTCAGGCAGTGTGCCTGAGGACTCAGGAAGTTAGTATTAAAGTCCGGTTTTAGGCCTAAAGGGAGGGCTTTGGGTATGTAAGAAAAGTCAGAAAATTTCAACAGTCTCAGACCAATACTTTTTGAGTTATGTAAAAAAACTACAGCAGGAATAGGGTTAATTAAACATAAGATTGAATTAATCTTGAAATATACAAAATAGAGAATATCTCGATATCCACAATTCTAAAGTTTTCAGCTCAGATTGTTAAGAGAAAATATCTATTTTTATCTTACGAGGACAAAGGATTTCAGTTTTGTTACAAACTCTGATTTTCTAATCCCCAATTCTGGCAACCCAATGTCATGGGCTTTTTATATATATGAAATTAAAATTACATTAATTAATCTAAGTTTGAAATATCAAAGGTTTACAACATCAGGTTGCAAAGATATAGGGATAAGGTTGTTTGACTTTGTGGAAAAAACTCAACTCCTTTATACAGAATTGCTTCGCTCTGACTGTTTTAATTATAGAACTTTTTTATGTTTCGTGATTACAAATCAAAAAATAGTTTTTCTTTTTCGAATATTGTTTCAAGAAATATATATATATATATATATATATAAATATAAATATAGTATTTTCAACTTTTTCAGTTTAAATATACATTTTAGATGTTTAAATACATATTTTTTTTAGTTTTAAATTTTTATTTCAGTGCGATTTGTTTTAACAGTTAAATATTACAACATTTCAACTTTAGAATAAAGATCGAAGTACATGTATTCATTAATTAAGTACAACTGTGTAACAGAGTACTGTTTTAGTTGGATAGTTTGTTGTTTAAAACATAAGACACATTTATTAATTTAATTTTAATACATATTTTCAAAGACAAAATGTTTTTAATTGAAAGTTAACAATATTTATCACTTTAAATGTAAAACAATTTTATCATATTTTAAAAAATCCGTGAAATCATTGTAAAATATGCTCCAATATCAGTTTTATTCCAACTGATGATTGGGTTAGACCCATGAAACATTTTGTCTTGGAAAAAATATATATTTAAACATGTTTAAACTGGTTGTAAATACTATATCAGTTGGAGACCGTGTGTCGAGAACTCTTGAAATCTTTGGTTTTCTACAATTGAATAAACATAAATATTTATATAAATCAAGTAGTAATCTATGTTTGTCAGTCTTTGGGATTAACTATTTATAACACTAGGTTATTTTGGTTCGAGGTGTTATAAAGTTTTAAACAGAAATATTCTTTTTATCGAGAAGGTTCAAGGCTTTTTAGATTTAATTAAAGCTAAAAAGGCTTGAACCTTAGATAAAATAATAGTAATTTTTTTAAACGTTTGTGTGCTTGTCTTATTTCATTGAATTTCGTGGATAGAACCAGGTTCTTTGTCTGGTAATTCTATGTTGATTAGGATGATTTTTATAGAGAAAATTTAGATTGCCTGGCAAAGCTGGTAAATTAATAAGTGGAAAATATTAGACAAAAATAGGCTTTATACAGTGAGAACCAGAAAACTATGGGTTAGGAAGACGACATTAAAGTAATAATGAAGTGGTTTTTTTTATGTTATTACAATCGATTAGTTTTCATTAGACTTAAAGTACTTTAACGTGTTGTACAGTCCTTGTACAAGATGCCCAGCTAACTATAATTATAATTTCCTTCAAATTTGCACACGGCTCATTTCAGTAAAAGACATAATAATGCGCTTGTTCATGCTTGCATTCTGTATCACATATCATAACAAGTAGAACGAAATACATGGTTTTTAGTCACATTTTATTCTCGAATTCAAAATCTGTCGAAAATAGCTAAAAAGGCCTAATATCTATTTGAATATACTCTTATCAAATCTGTAAAACAAAGAAAAAATAAAAAATATTAAATTACAATAACTCTTCATTTAATGGGTAAAATTGAGCTACCAATGTGTTGAAGCTCTGCACTAAATTTGTGTCTTAATCACTGATAATTTAAATCGCTAGATTTCGATATCCGTTATGGACACTTATATTTAAAGAGCAATGCTTAATCTCGTATTCTCAGCTTGTACAATAAGCCCCTAGTTTACCGTAATATTTCGCAAGATTGTATTAGTTTACCGTGATCCGTGATATTATTACGCAAGATTGTATTAGTATACCGTGATATTATTACGCAAGATTGTATAGTAGTTTACTGATTACGCAAGATTGTATAGTAGTTTACCGTGATATTAATACGCAAGATTGTATAGTAGTTTACTGTGATATTATTACGCAAGATTGTATAGTAGTTTACCGTGATATTATTACGCAAGATTGTAGTAAATTTAATCGGCGAATGCCTAGGTGTAGACCCGGGTAGCGTATTGAGTATACACCGCACACTTCAGTTCGTCCTAGCTTCTTGAGCATAGGCCATATACATACATACACCCTACCGGGTGGAATATTACACTCACTCTAAAAGGGACTGTTAGCTAATTTCAAGTGAACCTCCATGTAAAGATGGCAATGTCCAATTTACAACGGTACCCTTGAAACCTTAATCTGATCAAAAATGTAGAAGATACCGTCGTTTTCCTGACTTGAAAAGTGTTAATTTCTTTAATCTTCTCCATTGCTCCTTATAAACAAGAAATGCGCAAGTGGCTTTTTCAAAGAAAAGAAAAAAATTAAAGTTTAAAGTTTAAAGAAACATAAACATGGATATCTAATTCATACTTAATCTGACAAATTGCTCTTAAGGGTACCGTTATCAATCGAGCGTTGCCATTTTAAAATCCCTTTGAATATTCTTTTCTTTAATCTGTAAAGTTTAATATATTCTTAAATTGTATTCTCGACAATTTTGTTTTTATTA